GACAAGGAAAGATGGCCAGGGTGACATTTTTCCCAAATTTTTAAACTGGTAAGATACACATAAAATTGGCCACCTTAAACATTTTTCAGGGTACAGCTCACTGGCATTACGTTCATTTGTATTGTGCAGCCATCGTCCCCATCCATCTCCAGAACCTTCATCTTGTAAAACTGAAGCTTTCTACCTATTAAACAACTCCCTTCACCCCCCACCCCCAGCCCCTGGCAACCACCATTCCACGTTCTGTGTCTATGAATTTGGTTACTGTAGGTAACTCATGTAAGTGGAATCATACAGTGTTTGTCTTTCAGAAACTGGCTTATTTTACTGAGCATAGTGTCCTCAAGGTCTGTCCATGTTGTAGCACATGTCAGAATCTACTTCCTTTTTTTTCTTTTTCAAATGTTTTTATTGATTTGAGAAAGAGAGAGGAAGGGAGAGGGAGAGGGAGAGAGAAACATCAATGATGAGAGTCATTGATCGGCTGCCTCCTGCACGCCCCCTGCTGCGGATCGAGCCCGAAACCCGGGCATGTGCCCTGACTGGGAATCGAACCGGTGACCTCTTGGTTCATGTGTCGATGCTCAACCACTGAGCCACATTGGTCAGGCAGAATCTACTTCCTTTTTAAGGTCGAATACTATTGGCCAGGGTCACTTTTCAGGCCCCTTTCTCTCTTGCTGGGTTCCCAGGAAGACTGTGCAGGGTGTGGCTTATTTTAAAATGTGCCAGGTTGGTACCCCCTCATCCCTTTCCTGTTCTGGGAGGTTGGCCACCCCTCCCCAGAAGGCCCCCAAGGCAGGCTTCTCCTGCAGGACTCCCTCAGACATTTGCCCCGACTGCACAGGAGGATTCCTGGCCCTAACTGTCCATTCCCAAGGGGAGCTAGGATACAGTGCGGGAGAGAAAGCCCTGAAGCTGCGAGTTGAGAGTCCCAGCATCTTTAATCCCGACTGTCACTAATATTCATTCAGGATTCAACAGATATTTACTAAGTGTCTACACGTACAGGCATCAACTTGCTGTGTGACCTTGGGCACATGCCCTGCCCTCTCTGGGTCTCAGTTTTCTCATCAGGAAAGCAGAGGAATCAGGCTAAATTATTTCTAAGGTCCCTTCCAGTTGTAAAAGTGAGTGAATGACTAAATCAAGGTGGCCCTTTCCCCTGGGTGTCTCCTGGAACTTCCCCACCACCCGCAGTGGGCTTGACATGTGGCAGCCGTGATTGGGGCCGGCCGATGCCCACAGCTCTGCAGATGTTTCCTCTCCCCATGGTGTGAGACACATGAGACGCTTTCAGGTGTATCCTGTGCTGGGGCTGAGGGAACAGCACCTCGGCTCTCCCCGGAGCCCAGCATTCTCGGAGCACTGGGAGACCACGCTTCTACCCTGCACTGGCCTTTCTTTTGTAGTCAGCACCTCCGAAATGCTTCCGGACTCAGACCCTGCTCCAGCCGTCACTCTGCCCAACTACCTGTTTCCTGTCTCTGAGCCCAATGCCCTGGACAAGGCTGGTGACACTGGTGACCAGGAGGGACATTCTCTGGAGGAGCAGATCCCTAGAGAGGAAAACGCCAAGAAGACTGGAAAATCAAAGAAGAGAAGTAAGAGAGAGAGAAGTGTGTGAGTGTGTGTGTGTGTGTGTGTGTGTGTGTGTGTGTGTTCAAGGGGGTGGGTGAGAGGAGAGGAGCAGTCAGGGAAACCATAGGGGTGAGTGGGTCGAGGCCCTCAGACACATTAAGGAGACAGCTCTCTGGTATGGCGGGGTGGACGGAAACCTGGCCCCATGGGGTGGGTCTGCCCAAAGCCTGACAGTTCCCAGGCCACCCCTGTCTGCCCGGCATAGATGTAAACTTCCAGAAGTGCCGATGATCCCAACAGGTTGAATCCTAGGCTGGGTGTTCAGGCACCAGGCGTGGCCCCCTGGCTGGGCCCGGGCCCCCCGGGGGGCCTCTGCTGTGTGCTTCGCGCGCTTATCTTCCTTCTAGGAGCGCATGGAACTGAGGCCAGATATGGGAGAGGACTTTGGGCTTTCCCGAGCCCCGGTTTATTGATTTACTCAGGTGATGGCCGCTGATGCTGCCTTGTCAGCCTGGCAACCAAAACCCCAGTGTCGCACTTACCTGCACAACAGCCACATCTTTAGGCTTCCTTTTCATTTCAAACATCAGACGAGGTAGATTCTGACCTAAAGGTGACTCTCGTGCAAGCACTACACTGCCCCGGCATCGTAGAGGCTTTTCTGGTCCACCTTTGGGGCCTGAAAGTGAGGGTGGACCATCGGGCAGGTGCAGGTACCCGAGGGCTGTGGCCAAGGAGAATGATCCCGGGCTCCTCCTTGTCTGCCTTGTCGCGCCCAACTTGATAAGCTCCAGGCCCTCCCTCTGGGAGCCTACCCTGCAGCGCTTGCCCCGGTCTCGGCCTCATCTGCTCTCCCCTTCTCCTCACAGTCCGGAAGACAAAGGGCAACCGCAGTACCTCGCCTGTCACTGACCCCAGCATCCCCATTCGGAAGAAATCGAAGGATGGCAAAGGTATGGCTGGGAGTCAGGAGAGGTGGGAGGGGAGCCGGGTGCCTGGGCCGCCCCTCACCACCCGCCCGTCCTCAGGCAACACCATCTATCTGTGGGAGTTCCTCCTGGCGCTTCTGCAGGACAGGAACACCTGCCCCAAGTACATCAAGTGGACCCAGCGAGAGAAAGGCATCTTCAAGCTGGTGGACTCCAAAGCCGTGTCCAAGCTGTGGGGGAAGCAGAAAAACAAGCCTGACATGAACTATGAGACAATGGGGAGGGCACTAAGGTAGGGGCTGCTGGGGGGCCCTGTCCTGGGGGAGTCACTAAGCTCTTCCTTCCCTGCAAGAAGGCCCTCCTGCTGTGGGGTCTCCCTATGTTCTCATTTGCTTGCCCATAAGCCCACTCCCCAGGCCCCTCTGGAAGGAACAATCCCCTCCCTCTTGCAGATCTGTCCTGGCTTTTCTTTTTTGATACAAGGCATTTTAGGGCCTCCCACCCCCCAGGTCTTCCTC